GATGAAATCAGATAGGGATGAAATCGTTTAGGGATGAACGAGTTTAAGAGTTTTTAAGAGTTTTAAGAGTTTTTAAGAGTTTTAGCCAAATGCTTTATAAGATAGTATAGACTAGTAATGGCCAAACCGATGCGGTCCGGGACAGCCAGAGGACCGGAACTGGGACCGGTGAGGACCGAGTTATATTTTTTGTCGGATTTGTGAGACTGAGACCGGTTATGGCCCGGCCCGGCCCAAAATATTAAAAAAATGACCGTTTTTTAAATATAACTGTTAACTATTCATTTTTGACATTTTTTTATTTTTTTTTTATTTTTGGCCTCTAAACACTATAAATGTGTAACAAGGTTGAGAGATTTACATACCAAATTCTCAATTCGAAAAGAATCCAAAAAAGGTTAACCGTTTTTTGTTTTTTCTTTAACACGTTATCAGCACGTTGCTCGTCGCCTATCTGCTACTTCATCAATCAATTCTTCTACAACTACTGCAATTCAAGTAAGCATTATTATATTGAAGCAAATTAGGATAGTTAAATGTTATTTTGATTATGAGTTGCTACTCATAATTTTTAATTCTTTAGTTTTTGGTAAGTACGATTAGGGGTGCTTATGGTTGGGTTGATCGGGTTGAAGACATTTAAACAACCCAACCCAATGCTTGCGGTTTGGAAAAATCTTAACCCAACCTAACCCAAACCAAAGTGCAACCCAACCCAATCCGTACGGGTTAGTCGGGTTGATACTTTGGTATATTAAAGTATTCTTCTAACATTGAATATGTTATTTCTCTACTCATAATTTCTTTTTCATCATCAATCATCTGATACAACTTATCCATATTTTTTATGTATATCACATTCAGTTAATTTTTCTCAATTTACATATATATGTTCACAGTTATTGAACATATATATGAATGAGTTATATAGAGATATGAATAGACTCAAAATATGTGTATATGAAAAGCATACATGATAGTGTAATTGTCTAATATATATATTAATATAAATTCAACAAGCCTATTAAATCCAAGAAATAAAAGGATATCGGATTCATCGGGTTGGGTTGGGTTCAAATAATAGTAACCCAATATCAACTCAATACCTACGGTTTGACAATTTTACAACTCAATTAGATATCGGGTTGCTTCGGATTAAGTTATTTCGCATTGGGTTGGTTTGGGTTGATCGGGTTGGTCTGGTTTTTGAGCACCCCTAAGTACGATAATGATCATATTCTATGAATATTCATAATATTTCAATTTTTATTTTGATTATGAGTTTCTACTCATAATTTTTAATTTCACGAATAATTTATGGAAGTTATTCTTCCAATCCCCATATATTTTGGTCTTCTACCAAAAAGTTTAAATTCGACTTTATGCCGAAACCAATACTTATTTGGTCTAATGACAAAATCTCTTAAAATACCATTAATTAAAACATTGTAGTTGTCTTCATCTGCCAAACTCATATTCTTTTTGGCCTCCTGCCAAAAGTTCCAAAAATGCCATTATGCTATCAAGTTATCTGTATTTGATCTCATCTCTTGGCCTCATGCTAAAATCATTAATATTATCTATAGCCTTAAGGTTTGTAGGGGCTTAAGTAATCCATGTGATTTTCATACTACCTGAAATCCAATAGATTGAGTG